GTCAATGAAAAATGTGTTCATTACGAAACAAATAAACATCACTCACTTCATCTTTCAATTTTTTTTCCAAAATACATTTTTCTAACACCTTTAATCATGATTTGGCTGCTACAGTGTATTTTGTCTCCTTCCAAAACATAAACAAACATTACTTTCATTCTCAAATTCTTCCCCCAAAATATATTTTCTCAAAATTAAATCAAAATAAGTTCCAAAACACTTGCAAACATAGCCTAAACATGTATAAGGGGTGGAAAATATCATAAATTATTTTCGGGGTGCAAAATGTCAAATTGGTATATCTTTTTAGGGTGCAAAATGGAACTATGCCGCCCATTATCATGTAATTAAAAAGAATATGAAGGAGAAAAAAAATCAATCTAATTAATCAAATTACATATGTTGCATTAAACTAAAGAAAAAAAAAAACACAAAAACAAATCATGGCCAGCCAACGATGGTCCAACGTAGGACTAAGTAGTGCTTTTGCGGCATGTATATTTGACTAAACTTTATGATAAATTTATTCAAATTAAATAAATTAATTGAGATTACATCTTATTTAGAAACAAATAAAATGAACTTTCCTGAATAGGTCCCTCACTAACCATTTTAATTATTGTAGGTTTAGGTGATATATTTTTTTTGTTAATAAGTACACCTCTATAATTATTAATACATATTGTAAATAAGGGTAAATTACGGTCAACCACCTGAAGTAAGGCCAAATTATGAAGAAAAAAAACCCTTCATATTTGGGTAATTATAACTATACCCTTTATATAAATATTCTATTACGAAAAAAACCCCATCTTTCAGTAGGTAAATTTGACACCGTAAGAGTAGACATGTAGACAATACATGGGTGAGGGTGGTTGTAATTACCCAAACATTATGTTTTTTTTTGGTAATTTGACCTTATCTTAAGGGGGTGGCCGTAATTTGCCCTTATAAATAAATGCAAACTTAATGTACATGACAAAATTATCTCCAACCTTTTACACCCAATTCATAATTGTAACTCCAATTAAACTTCAATTTCATCAATTTTGTTATTAAAAAAATCACATCTTGATTTTTTTTCAAACTCTTTTTTATGCCTCCGGTTTCCGATATTGACTTTTCTTTTTTTTTTTTTTTTTTGAAAAAAAAAAATTATCCTTTGTTTTTCTAATTCCGCCCGCCGCTGGGACACTAATATTACTATGGTTGACACTAAAAAAATACTATAAACACAATAATATTACCATCAACCACATCAATATTATTTCTTTTGACTTTCTTATTTTCTTTGATTTGTTGGCCGGTCAAAGTAGTAATATTATTGCCTACTATTGTAATATTACCGTGGTCAACGCCGGAGACCGGCGATAAATGGGGGCTCACCGATGGTGACGGTCAAAACTGGAGTCAAATTTGGGTTATGGGTCAAAATTGAATAATTGATGAAATTTGGGGTCAATTGGATTAAAGAGATGAAATTGAACCATATTAAAATGTGAGGTGGTATGTTAGTCTTTTACACACCTCTGAATTTTGTCTGAATTTTTTTACAAAATAATTTTTAATATGATCATCTTTATGAATAAGTAACCCACGATGAATATACTTATAAGTTATAATAG